TAGCATGTGCAAAACACGTATGATCAATGCCTGAAAGGCTTTGTCCATTTGGTCCACTGTAGCAAGTTACCTCCAACTCAGAGACTTACACACAACATTCGTGTCTCGCAGTTTGAGAGGAGAGCATCAAATCAATGCACCAGCAGACCTGGAGTCCAGGGAGGGCCCTCCTCTTGATTTATAGGCAGCTGTCTTCCTGTATTCTCACACTAAAGCGGGCAGGGGGCCTGAGAAGAGGACAAATGGCAAAGGGATATGGCCTGGCCCTGTCACCACTGAGAGTGTGCTCTGTGTTTACTTCTGTCTCTGTCCTTGTGCTCAAGCAACAACTTTGCCGTAAAACATGGAAGGAGGCCACGAAGCAAAATGTTTACATACTAGAAAACCTCTATGGCTGAACCCAGCTAAAGCTAAGCGGGGTCCGGGATGGTTACACAATGGCAAAGACGGAGGAGATGATTCCCATGGGAAATTCCCATCCCAGAAAATGCCCTGCCTAAGGCCCCAGAATCAACAATTGTCAGAACAGAATCACGGCATTTTTACATAATTCACCCAGAAAGCACCGGTTCTGAAGGTCACTAGCTGCGCAAGCCTCGTTTGCTGGGCACTGTTTCACTGGCTGTGAAAACACCTCTGACAGGCGTGGGTTACTGTTGTCTTGGTTGCTTTGCAGAAACCTGAAGGCCACTTTTCCTTAAACACAGACTCTCTGGTGAAGCCATGGGTACCTCATAGACAGCTGCAAAAGCTTGGTATTTCTGTCACCTTTGCTGTCTTAACCCTCGTCCCGTTTTCAAATATTTCTCAAGACTACTGCATAGGCCTATCTGTTGCTAGAGCTGATGTGTTTCCTCTACCAGATTCTGTGGGGAGCAGAGGAAGCCCTAAGCGAATGCAGTCTTTCCTGACTGAATGTGTACAGCTGACATGAGTACAGCCTTGTCAAGGACCCCAGTTCCTCAGAGCCTTCACTCCTGATCTGAATGCAAATGTTGATAGCACATATAGAAAAAAATCCACCATCACTTTCTTTCACCCCACGCCCTAGATTTACGACCCCAAGACTGCCCTCCTACAGAGATAACTCCTGTTTCCTTTTCCTGCTGCATGCAACAGCACTGCCTCCCTATTCAACTGAGCTGGGCTGCTGCAGCTTCTCCATCAGAGAGCGCAGTCCACACAATCCCAGTTCTCCCTCGTATCTGTATGTCTTGTCTTCCTCTTCCTTCCCGGCCCCAGACAGGTCAGCCCTGGAGCAGCGCTGGACGCCATGCCATCTTTGTGTCTCCGGGGAGCTGGAGCACCCACAGTTCCTCAGACTCATGACAAGGCCTGGGACAGTCATTAAAAATGATAATTCTCTAGGTTGCAGAGATCATTCAGTGGTTAAGAGCACTTGCTCCTCTTTTAGGAGCTTGGTGTTCAATTCCCAGCACCCACATGTTGGCTCAAAAGCATCTGAACTCTAGTCTAAGGGATCTGAAACTGTCTTCTGGCCTCCATGGGCACCAAGCAGGCACATAGTACACAGACCAACATGCAGACAAAACACCAATACACATAAACAAATATGTGCAGCTTCATTTCTGAGCTAAATCACCAGCCACCAGGCTGCAAACATCAAGGTTATAATACTTGCACATGAAAGGAAAAGTCCTTTGAAACTGTGCCCAGGAACAATGGAAAGTTACCAAATTTTAGCAGCACCCCCCACACACATACACCCAGAGTCAATGAAGCCCTCCCTCTGCCAAGCCAGCAGTCATTTTAATCAGTGTCCACTTCCTTCTGCTCAAGGGCTGTTGTCCCGCTATGGTACTGAGCCTTCCTGCCTCGTTCACACTGTATGGCTTGCTGTCATTGCTGCTTCCATACCATGCTGGGAGAGCCTGCTGTCCGACATCAACATGGAAGAGATGAGGGAGGACGCTTTCTCCTTAGAGCACTAACCGCTTCGTAAGAGCTCTTCATCTAATTATCCTCAGGACTGTGTCAAGATGGGATTACAGATTTGTATTGATTTGGACTCTAAAAGAGTGGCAGGTGTCCTTGGGTGAAGCTGGTCTGGGGAAAGGCTTGGGTTAAACAGAATAATAACACCATGATTCTTGGGTTTTTTTTGTTTGTTTGTTTGTTTGTTTGGTTGGTTGGTTGGTTTTTCCGAGACAGAGATTCTCTATGTAGCTTTGGAGCCTGTCCTGGAACTAGCTCTTGTAGACCAGGCTGGCCTTGAACTCAGATCCACCTACCTCTGCCTCCCCAGTGCTAGGATTAAAGGCATGTGCCACCACCACCCAGCTAACACTGTGATTCTTATGTTAGTGTCAGACTAGTTCCACCCCACAGCTACTACCCCTACACACACACCCCGTGGCTAGAATTAATAGCCACCTGGATTAAGTCCCAGCTTCCTTGACATTGGTGAACTTGCACAATCACCCTCTTAGGCTGTTTCTCACCTTTTCAGAGAGATGCTCTGAGGATTGAAGGAATTCATTTAAGAGAAGTGCTTGAACAGTACGGGCACAGGGTGGATGATCATGTGTTTCTGTGTTAACACTGCCGTTATTTCATTCATTCATCCGGCTAGCGAACTTGGGTTCGCTGATGCACATTGTGGGGCCGTAGAAACATCTCGGTAAGTGCCAGCCCTGAATTTAAAACTCTAGCTTAGGGGCATCCACAGAAGCTCTAACAGCGGTTGAATTCTAAATACATACTAGTTGGCACTCTTCACCCAAGCCACAGTGAATTAAATCAACCAAAAGACAAACAAACATGGTGGTGCACGTCTTTAGTCCCCGTATTCGGGAAACAAAAGCAGGCAGTTCTGAGTTCAAAGCCAGCCTGGTATACAGAGCAAGTTCCAGGACAGCAAGGGCTACAGAGAAACCTGGTCTTGAAAAAACAGCAACAAAACAAACCGATTTAACCTCCACCCCTGCTCTTTTGTCATTCTCTAAAACAATGTTTTCCAGGCATATTCCTCATGGAATTTTCTTCTCACTTTAGTACAATGTACCTGGCTTTTTCTTTTAGGCCACCTACTAGCTCTCTGTTCATGATACAGAGACTTATTTGTCTGGAATGCTTGGCCTAACTTAGGCACATTTCTTGCTAGCTCTTTTAACTTAAATTAACTTGTTTCTCTTTTATTTATGCTTTGCTTTGGGCTTTTTACCTTTTTTTACTTTCTTGCTGACTGGCTGGCTGTTTGTTGCCTGGCTTCTGACCCTGGGTGTCGCCCTTGTTCTCTCTTCTCTTGTTCTTCTCCCCAGCCTAGAGTTCTCCTCTTAATTTACTCTCTGCCTGCCAGCCTCGCCTAGCCTTTCTCCTGCCCAGCTATTGGTCATTCAGCTCTTTATTAGACCAATCAGGTGCTTTAGGCAGTCAAGGTGAAACAAATTCAACACATCTTTACATAATTAAACACACGTTTTTACATTGTTAAATAAATACAGCATAAACAAATACAACACACCTTTACACAGTTAAATATTCCACAGTATAAACAAATGTAACACACCTTTACACAGTTAAAGTAATATTCTCCAGCATAAACAAATATAACACAACTTTACAGTTAAAGTAATATTCTATAGTATAAACAAATGTAACACACCTTTCCACAGTTAAAGTAATATTCCACAGTATAAACAAATGTAACACACCTTTACACAGTTAAAGTAATATTCTCCAGCATAAACAAATATAACACGTCTTTGCCCAGTTAAAATAATATTCCACAACAGTAAAGTCTAAAGATAGATTAATCCTCATTTCTTTTTCTTCTTTTTTTGGGACGGGTAGTTCAAGACAGGGTTTCTCTGTGTAAAAGTCCTGGCTGTCCTGGAACTTGCTCTGTAGACCAGGTTGGCCTCGAACTCACAGACATTTGCCTGCTTCCTGAGTGCTGGAATTAAAGGAGGGTGCCACCACACCTGACTTCAATCTCATTTCTAAAAAGTTTTGTTTGTTTTAATTCTGTTTATGCATTTGTGTGTGACTAAGCGCACTGTTAGTGCGGGAGCCTGCTGCAGTCTCGTCTTTCTCTGGAGTCGGAGTTATAGACGGTTGAGAACCTTCTGACTACGAGCTGCAGACAGAACCTGGGTCCTCTGTAACAATAGTATCGGATTGTAGTTGCCGAGTCATCTCTCTAGCCCCGATCCTATTTCGCAATACAGGGTCTCAGGCATCCCAGCATTCCCTCAAATTCCACATGTAGTTGAGGATGACCACGGAGTCTCAACCCTCCTGTCTCCACTTCATAAATGTGCGGATTGCAGGCATGAGCCAACACACCCAGTTGGGGAACAAACCTACAATCTCTTATACGAGAGGCCACCTGAGCCAGTTCTCAAGTCCCTGTTTAATTTCTGTTGTTTTCCTAGAGACAGGGTAAGCCTCAGCCCAGGTTTACCCCCAAACACTTAATTCTCCTGCCTCAGTCTCCTGAGGAATTACAGCTGTGTGCCGCCATACTTGGGTACGTTATTAATTCTTGTTCATTTATGCCATCCTAAAAATGCTGAGAAAGGTGGGAGGAATGGGAGGAGTGAAAAAGCATGATCAAATATATTGTATAAAAATTATTTTCAATGAAAAAGAATGTTGAGATAATGAAACCTGCTCTTGCATATGAAAGAAAAACTCACAGTTATTTTTGTTTGTTTATTTTTTGTTTTTATTGGTTTTTCGAGACAGGGTTTCTCTGTGGCTTTGGCGCCTGTCCTGGAACTAGCTCTTGTAGACCAGGCAGGCCTCGAACTCACAGAGATACGCCTGCCTCTGCCTCTCGAGTGCTGGGATTAAAGACGTGCGCCACCACAGCCCTGTCTCAACCTTCAGATTGTGTCAAAAATATTTGACATTAGTAGTAGCGACAGCCCACGATAAGGGCCAACAGCGTACAGATCCCAACAAAGCATTGCAAGCAAGGCGGTAAGTTTGAGCCTCTGCGGCTCCCGTAGCTCGGTACGGCTTGCCCGATGTCCCACGTGCTACTTCCGGTTACACTGAGACACACGCGTCTAAGCTGCCGCGGGGACTCGGCAGTGACTGACGGAGGTCTGCTATTTCCATCAGCTGCTCGCCTGGGATCCCGTCTGCAGCCACCATGTCGGGCAGGAACAACAACAAGCTGCCCAGCAACCTGCCGCAGTTACAGAACCTGATCAAGCGGGACCCGCCGGCCTACATCGAGGAGGTGGGACGGGGACCCGGCTCCCTGGAGTCCTCCGGAGGCTTCAGGGGCCCTCGGGAGGAGAGACGGCGTGGGGAGGGAACGTTCCTGAGGACTCGTTTCCCACCGCTTGCTAACCTGCCGCCCTGCGGGCCTCACAGCCACTGAAACGCTCTTTAAGACCTGTTGCCTCCGGCTTTATGCCGCCGCCCCGCCGAGGGCCGAAGTGGCTGCGCCCTAGACACTCTTCATTAGTCCCTGAGATTTGATGAGTCGTGTTTAATTTAAAGGTGCTGTCCACAGGCGGCCGTTCCCGAGTGCCCCAGGTTCTGCCAGGAAGAGCAGAGAGTTCTCAGATGCCTGGGCCGCCATCAGAACTTAGAAGGTGCAGTTAAGCCAGGGTTGAAACTCGGGAGGGAGCCAGCTAGAGTTGAGAAGATGCTTTGGGAAAAGATGAGGTCGGAATTGACATTAGGCCCACGCTGTGAGGGACTTAGCACTTCAAGTGTGTGAACTGAGAAGAGACGAAATGAAAGGGGTAACTTTGTGCTGTTAACCTGGTAAATGCTTCAGACACGCATTTGTCTCGGAAGCATTAAACCCTCATCTCAGCCGGCTGCCATTAAGTTCCTTCGACACTATGCTTTTGTTTTTGAGTAGATAACTCAGCTCTTGTTTTGGTGGTTCTTCTCCAAATTTATGTATCTTTCCCTGTGAATATTAATGCGAATGTTTTTGCCAGTACAGAGTGCTGAACAACAAAGTGGTCACAGGCACGGCTTTCCAATGTCGCTGTCCCGTCCTTCACAGCAGAATGAATTACGAGCCCCTGCAGCTCTTTTTTCCTTATTAATTTTGTGAGTTAGCTTGCAGAGTAGTGGGTTTCATTTCAACACTTTTATACATATGTGCAGTGTTTTGTTCTTATGTGTCCCCCTCCTGTGCTTCCCTTCCCAATCTTCCCTGCCCCCTTCTTACTGATCCCCTTCCTCTCCCCAAACAACCCTTGCTATTGTATTGATGTCAGATATATCTCAGTTCCCTGCTCCCCTTTAGGATCTCTTCCTTCTGGGGAGTTGACTCAGTGGTCAAGAGCACTAATGCTTTTCCAGAGGACCCAGGTTTGATGCCCAGCATCTACATGATGACGCATAACCATCTTTAACTCGTTTCAGGGGATCCTACATCCTCTTCTGGCCTCTGGACACTAGGCACATGTGTAGACATACATACATGTAGGCAAACACTCAATACACATAAGAAAAGAATCTCTTCCCATATTCCCTTTTCTGATGTGTCACAAATGTAAATTTAAATCTAAATTCTGCTTATGAGAGAATTATGGGCAATCTCTGAGTCTGGCTTATTAACATAATGATTTCCTCCCAATGTCATGGTTTCATTGTTGCTCCTGAGTGGGGGAAAAAAAATGTGTGTGTACCAAATTTTCATTACACATTCTTCTGTTGGTGAGCACCTAGGATAGTTCTGTTTCTTGGCTGTAGTAGGTAGTGCTCCAGTAAACACGAATGTGCAAGTTTATCTGTGGTATTTGATCAGATTCCTTTTGTTATATACTCAGGAGTGCTATAGCTAGGCAATACGGAAGTTCAGTTTTTAGTTTTTTTCCTTAGTAGCTCTATTTCCATAAATTCTGTGTGTGTATCACAATATACATACATGCATGTATATCATAACATATAAATATATACATTTCTGTTTTCTCACGTCCTTCCAGCCTTTGTCCATCTTTTTCCCCTGCTGATAGCCATTCTGACTGAGATGAGATAGTGTCTCAGATGATTTTAATTAATTTGCATTCTCCTGATGGCTAAGGATGTTGCATGCTTTTTCAGATAGCGATTGGCCATTTGCATTTCTTTTGAGCTTTGTCCAGTTTGTTAGTCTGTTTGATTGGAAGATTTGTTTTGGAGTTTAATTTATACGATTCTTTATATATTCTACCCAGCAGTCTCATGACTTGTTTCTGCTGTCTTGTAGGTTTTCTTCACTGGGCTGGTTTTCCCCTTTGCTGTACAGAACTTTTTTTTAATTGCACACACGCCCATTGGTCAATCCTTTGAACTCTTTCTTGTGCTGCTGGAGTTCTTTCCGAAGGCGAATGAGACCACCTATCTCACAGCTGACCCAAAGCTCTGGTTCTGTGTTTGACCAGTTGTGTACCCAAAGAAGGTTAAGTAACAGCCTTTGTATTTTAATATTCAAGAAATGAATATCCATTCGTTTGAATATGTATGCAGATCCACACACATACACACTTTACAGTTTAGTATGGCAATATATTTCTAGACACGGAGGATATGGGGACAAGTAAGACCTGATTGAGCCTGGTCTTTTTGGACTTCCATTCTAAGGAGGACAGTACATGTGTAAAGTGAGGGCTGGAGAAGGTGACCCTGGGTGAGAGCGTTAGAAGAGAAGGCTGCTGACTCGTGAGTGGGGAAGCCTTTTCTACAATGGTGGTGTGAGCTCGGCGGGTCAAAGCATTCTAGACAGGAGTAGGACTGGCAAGCTGTTGTGGAAAGAAATGAAGCAGGAACGCCTGTTATCCCTTAAGTGTAGTGTGGGGATGCAGGCAAGCCCTTTAGATGGTGGTCAGCCGTTTAGATTTGACTTTTGGTGTTTCTGGCAGCCACTGAGGATTTAAATCAACTGGGTACCAAGTATGTATTGTTCTTAAAGTTTTTCTGACAAGAAGGGGAAATGGAGTGGAAGCCAGAGTGTGGAGTGAGATCCAAAGTTTCTCATTACATGGTGGAAGGAATGGCATTCCGTGAACTGCGGCTAGGGCAGAGGTTGAGACGAGATTCAGAACTAAGTGGGCCAGTCAAGGATAAGAAAAGGAATCCATTTGGAAGGAGAATAGCACTCTAGAACTAGCATTAAGGAACAAAGAGGACACATACTCAGCCATGGTGCAAGAAAATGTCGCAGTGCTGGATGAAGGAGCCATCTGTGGTCACTGAGAGAATCAGAATGACTGGGCTACTATTTCAAAGCCCTGGTTGCCCTGGCTTCACCCTCAGAGTTCTGGGATACTGGTGTGGAGGTTAGGATGACAGGGACAAGAGATAGTGTGGAGCTTTGGGCATTGTGATGACACATTTGCATGAAGGACAGAATGGGGTTGGTCCTCCTCATGCCAGGACAGACACTAGTAAGTGGGCCCTGGTTGGAGCATTGATTGGGTTAGGAACGTGAAGAGTTTGGGGGTCAGTGGTGGTATGGGGTCAGGTGAGAGGTCACAGCTGAAGCATGGTGTTGGCCTTTTAACTCTTAGACGCTGAGAAACCGCGGGGACTAGGAAAGACTGATGACTAAGAAGTGCTCTCGTAGCCGGGCAGTGTGCAGACGCCTTTAAACCCAGCATTTGGGGGCAGAAACAGACAGATCTCTGAGTTCAAGGACAGCCAGGGCTATACAACACAGTGGAACCTTGACTCAAAGAAAAAGTTCTCTCTCTCTCTCTCTCTCTCTCTCTCTCTCTCTCTCTCTCTCTGTGTGTGTGTGTGTGTGTGTGTGTGTGTGTATGTTGTGTTTGAATGTAATTGGCCCCCATAATCTCACAGGGAGTGGCACTATTCGGAGATGTGGCTTTGTTGGAATGGGTATGGCCTTGTTAGAGGAAGTGTGTCACTGTGGAGGTGGGCTTTGAGTTTTCCTGTGCTCAGGATACTTGCCAGTGTCTCTGTCAACTTCTTGTTGCCTGCAAGATGGAGGACTCCTAGCTCCTCCAGCAGCACTGCTGCCTGCATGGCACCAGGCTCCCTGCCATGGTGATAAAGTACCGATCCTCAGAAACTGTCGCCACCTAGTTAAATGTTTTCTTCGTAAGAGTTGCTGTGGTCATGGTGTCTCTTCACAGCAGCAGAAACCATAACTAAGACAGTGTGTGAATGCGTGTGTGACTGTGGGAAGCTGGGGTGTAGCTCAGCAGTGGAGCACTTCTCTCTAGCACACTCGAGGGCCCTCAGTTCCATCCCCGGCACCACAGAAGCAGCAGCGTATGTGGACGACAATAACCATAGGGCGTGGACCTAAGGCTTGACTCCAGTTCCAGTTCCAGCCATAAACTGGCTTGTTTGTTGGGTCAGACGAGACCATGCATATCATGAGCCTGGCACAAACCAAGTGCTTAGTAAATGGAAGCTGTAGCTTTATTCTTGTTCCTTCTGTCTTTTACCCTTGGGTTTGTTTCGGGGATGGGGTCGGGTGGGCAGGGGTTGGCATATGCACACATATGCACTCGTATGGAGGCCATAGGAGGATGTTGGGTGCCCTAGATTCTCATTCTGCCCAGTGTCATCCTTTCCCTGGTTCTGGAGCTAAGCTAGTATTCAGTACGCCCCAGAGATCCTGCTGTCTCCATCCCTCACACGGGTGTTTGCGTGGGTGCTGATGTCCGGATTCAGGTCCTCGGACTTGCGCAGCCAGCATTCCTGACTAGTGAGCCTTTTCTCCTGTCCTGTCTTTAATGACAGTGGTGATTCTTCTCCTCCTTCCTCTCCCCTTCTTTTCTAGTTTAAAAACTCTGTTGAGTTTTTAACACAGTTAAAACTCTCAGCTGCATGTACTATGTGCTCTCATCCCTGATACCCTTGGAGCTTTGAAGAGGGACTGGAATTGTGATGGTTGTGAACCATTGTGTAGGTGCCAGGCAGTGAACCAGGCTTTCTGCAAAACAAGTGCTCTTAACCACTGAGCTCTCTTACGCTCTGTCTTTGGTTCTTAGCATCTCTGTCTGGAACTCCAGCATGAAGCTTTAGTGGTATTTAAGAGGGTGGCTGACTAGAAGACTTCATGTCCCTCAGGTGTCCTCCACACTTAGTGGCCTGGCATCTTCCTGCTGATCCAAGTGCTTTTCATGCACGGCTCATGTAATGTCAATGGCAGAGCAAGGCCAGAACCTGAGTTCCTGGCTCCTGTTCACACGACACCGCCCAAACCTCTGTTCTGAGAACGGGGCCTCACGTGAGTCAAGTGGTGCTAAAGCTTTCTCAGAACTCCTTTGGAAAGATGCAGAGAGGGAAAAGGGAATGTTTTAAGAACTAGGGTGTGACTCAGTAGAGGGTTTGCCTGCCGTGCATGAACCTAGGTTTTCATCCCAGGACCACAAAGAAGGATGTTCTTATATACCTAGGTCTTTTTCTCTGTACCACAGGCAAAGGTGTGTAACATGAGGGCCGGCTTGTTGGGGTTTCCGTCTGCCCGGTACCCCAACAGCCGGCAAATCCCAAAGAGAAAATCACACACAGGACTCCATAACATTATAAACTGATTGGCCCATTAGGTCAGGCTACTTATTAGTTCTTATAACTTATCTTAACCCATTATTCTGATCTATGTTAGCCACATGGGCTCAGTACCTTTCTCAGTGTGACAGCTTACATGTTGCCTCTTCGGTGGTCTGCACAGGAGTGGCTGAGAGAGAGCTTCTGTGTCCCAGAAAACTCCCAGTCTCTTTGCTCCACCCCTACTTCCTGTCTGGCTTTCCCGCCTATACTGCCTGCCTGGCCAATCAGTGTTTTATTAAAATATGATTGACAGAATACAGACAATTCTCCCACACCAAAGGTGCATGTATAAAAGAGTGTGACAAACTCCGTTCTCTTTTCCCCTACAGTTCCTCCAGCAGTACAATCACTATAAATCCAATATGGAGATTTTCAAGTTACAGCCAAATAAACCCAGCAAAGAACTGGCGGAGCTGGTGATGTTTATGGCACAGGTAAGATGGTGATTTCTCAGTGAGACAAGACAGTGAGGTGCAGACTACCACCATCCCACCCCATCCCATCCATGTTTTCCAGCCTCTGTATGGAAACTTAAATTTTTATAAAGCCTTCCCTTTTGTAGCTCTTCTTTACTTCCTAAGATATTTTAGAGAATTTTGATGAATTTTTAACACAGAACCAAACAGAACAAAAATTGATCAAAAAAAAATTTTAAATTCGTCATACAGGCAGGTTCTCAGTGTGCCCCATGCATTTTACCGAAACTACTGGAACAATGAAAGTAGTAGAAAAATTAGCATCCAGGGAAAGCTGACGATTGAGAGTCGTCTGCCTCTGGACCAGCCCTCCTTGAGCATCTAAATGTGCAGCTGAAGTTAGGGAGAAAGGCCGCACTGAGAAGTGCCCTGCTTTCTTACAGATTGCCCACTGCTACCCGGAGCATCTCAGTAACTTCCCACAGGAGCTGAAGGAGCTGCTCTCTTACAACCACACCGTCTTGGACCCGGATCTCCGCATGGTAGGAGAGTTCACAGGTCCCGTGCATGCGATGATGGTGAAGTGAGACACCTACAGCTAACGTCTCTGTGGTGCCTGGGGAGAGCAGGTGGGACGTGCATGCTGCGTTTTCTCATTTGATTAACTTTACCCTCAGCTTAGTGTGTTTTCTTTTCCTCCCCTAGACATTTTGCAAAGCGTTGATCTTGCTGAGAAATAAAAATCTCATCAATCCATCGAGTTTGCTAGAGCTCTTCTTCGAGCTTCTGCGCTGCCACGACAAGCTCCTGCGGAAGGTAGGGGGCGGGCTCTTCCCTCCGTTCCTCTCTTCCTGGGCTGACATAGCTCCTGCGGAAGGTAGGGAGCGGGCTCTTCCTCCGTTCCTCTCTTCCTGGGCGGATATAGCCGAGTTCAGAGTCGCGGAATTATTGACTTTGTTTGATAGGGTGATAGATACAGCTGGTCCTTCAGTAGGAGCAAACATCATACATGAAGTTTAGTATTGATAGCCAGCACTTGCTGAATGCTGCTCTGGGCTAGTTGTTAATCTCAGAGGCTTCAAGTATATGCTTGAATACAAAAACCTGAGCTAGAGATCTTCATTGCTAATGATTCACAGACAGACAGAGAGACAGGTTGAAGCACAGCAAGTGACTTGTCTCAGGTCAAACAGCTTTCACGTGTGTGGAATGGCTGCTTAAAAGAAATCCCACACTAGCTGAGGATTGAGAAATAGATGGTTATTTATTTAGGGGTAAACTCACAAATCAGAATTCTCTGCTTGAACAGAGAACAGAGATCGAATCCAGCACTCTGAAAGAGCAGACAGGGAAGAAGGGGCGGACGCAGGCTCTGCATCTACATCTATAGTATAAGAGGCCACGCCCCAGTAGGTGGGTAACCACAAGCTGGAAGACTTCCTACAGCACATGTGCAGGGCTAGACCTTGAACCCAAGCAGTTTGGTACAAAAACCTAGTGTCTTCGTGACCTTGTGCTGGGCATGAGGGCACACACACTAGCTGGAACCACCAACCCACACAATAAAAACTTTTTGTTGCAATAGCATTTTTCTATGTGTAACATGAGGGCTGACTTGCTTGTTGGGGTTTCTGTCCCGCCCCGTACCCCACAACCGGCAACTCCCAAGGAAAATCACACACAGGACTCCATAAGGTTATAAACTGATTGGCCCATTAGGTCAGGCTACTTATTAGCTCTTATAACTTATGTTACCCCATTATCCTTATCTACGTTAGCACATGGCTCAGTACCTTTTCCAGCGGGGCAGCTTACATCTTTCCTCTCTGTGGATGGAGCTTCCTGCTTTCCAGAATACTCCCAGTCTCTTTGCTCCACCTCCACTTCCTGTCTGGCTTTCCTGCCTATACTGCCTGCCTGGCCAATCAGCATTTTATTAAAATATGATTGACAGAATACAGACAATTCTCCCACACCATTTCCCTCTTTTTTTTTAAACAAAGGAAAATACCCATAGTCCATTTGTTGGGAATGTGGGCGTAGTATTTCAGGCTACTTCCTGCTGGTTGGGGGCGCTGATGATCTTATGGGGACCTAAAGAAAACTTAGAGTTATAATCAAGTCCTGATTGGAGTATCCTGTGAGTCTTGATCATCTCAGGCAGCAGTCTTGAATCCGTTCTGGATGTAGAACTCTGTCATCTGGGCCATCTGTTCCTATTGGAGATTTCTCAGGTGGTCTTCCTTTTTCGAACCTGATTTTTCTTAACTCAGAATGAATCCACAGCCTCTCATTTTCTGTGGAAACAAAAGCAAAATCTCTTCTCCAAAGTAACATACCTTTTGACTTCAATTTTGAAGCCAAGGTATTTTCAAAATACCTATCTTGGATTAATTCAGCAGCATTTATAAACAAAAATCTTTTAGCAACTGTTGCTCCTTCCTCAGCAATCAAACAATTCAAAGAGAGCATAATAGCATACAGTATCAAGATTCTCTGTATATTTTCCATCTTTATTTTAACCTCTATTTCTTTTATTTTTACTTTTACTTTTTGAGACAGGTTCTCTGTATATCTTTGTCCTGGAATAACTCTGTAGACCAGGCTGTCCTTGAACTCACAGAGATCCACTTGTCTCTGCCTCCCAAGTGCTGGGATTAAAGGTGTGTGCTACAACACCTTGAACTCACAGAGATCTGTCTGTCTCTGCCTCCCAGGCATTGGGTTTAAAGGTGTGTACTACCACACCTTGAAATCACAGAGGTCAATCTACCTATTGCTCCCAGGCATTGGGATTAAAGGTGTGTATCCCACACCCTACTTCTCTCTTTCTTTTTTATTTTTAATGGCTTTAACCTTTAGCCTGCATATATTTTTAACATACTGTAAACCAGTTAGAGGTTTTCTTCCTCTTTGAATCTCTCTTTACTGTATATCTCTTTTTCTGACTACATAAGCCTTTAATTTACTAAGCAATATGGAGAGCCGTGGCTTTGATGGCTAGATCCAGCCCATTCCTTAGCTTTCCAGCCTCATGGCTGAGATACCAGCCAGAGCTTCAGTTCACTGCCACAACTCTATGGCGTTTCAAGGTCCTTGCTAGCAAGCAAGCTGTAGTATTCTGCTCACAGACCACACTCAGTCAGACTGCCTGCCTAAAAGAGTCAGAGTTTGCCCTGGCAGGACAGCCCAGAAAGCCAGCATTTTAAAACTGCGCAGCTTTTTTCCTGCTATGGCTGAAAACTGAAAAGCATGCATTCAGCTTTTCATCAGCACAGTTTAAGTGTTTCGTGGCAGGACCTCTTAAAAGAGCTGCAAGGTTTTGCAGCTAAAGTTGAGTCAGGAAGCCTCTCTTAGATGAGAGTGCTTGCTTGCCTCTAGCAAGCAGAGCAGACCCAAGAAATTGCTGCCATCAAGAAAGCATGCTTTATTCTTTCCCAAGCTTTCTCAGGCATTCTGTGGATGCAGTTATCCATGTGGGTGCCCTATGTAACACGAGGGGCCGGCTTGTTTGTTGGGGTTTCTGTCCCGACTGGTACCCCACAGCTGGCAACTCCCAAGGAAAATCACACACAGGACTCCATAAGGTTATAAACTGATTGGCCCATTAGGTTAGGCTACTTATTAGCTCTTATAACTTATGTTACCCCATTTCTCTGCCTGTATATTTACTTAAGATAAGAGCTGAAGGCTTATAAAACAAATTTCAGAAAGAAAAACTCGTTTATATTCATTAAGTTAATCTCTCACACCAAATATTAAGAGACTACTTCTATTTGATTTGATCATTTGTAGTCGTGGTCTCCATGGGACCATGTTTTGGGTAGTGGTGATGTTTATAGTCACAGAACTATTGTGCATTCAGTCAGATGCTTGCTCCTTTTAACAAAGAGTTAGAGATTAGAGAGATGGCTCAGTTTAGCACTTGCTCTTCCAGAGGATCCAAGTTCAGTTCCAGCACCCATGTCAGGCAGTGAGAACCATCAGTAACTTCAGCTTCAGGGATCTGACACTTCTGGCCTCCGTGGCTCCTGCACTCATGTGCACATACCCACATGCAGGCACACATAACTATATATAGTTAAACATAATAAAATGCATCTTTTTATATTCAGCTATAGTTATAGTTAATGCATTTTTAAAAAAAGATTCCTTTTTCTTTGTGTTGGTGTTTTGCCTACTTGTGAATCTGTACTACATACATTCATTGCCCACAGAGTCCAGAGAGGGTGTCAGGTCTGCTAGAACTGGAGTTACAGACAGTTGTGAGCCACCATGTGTGTTCTGGGAACTGAACTTGTGTTCTCTGCAAAAGCACCCAGTGGTCTTAAGCACTGAGCCATCTCTCTGACCTTCTTTGCTTTTTGTTTCTGGGTTTCTGGCAGTGTTGGAGATTAGTCCAGAGCCTTGCAGTTGCTAGAAATACTCTTTGACTAAGCTGCATCCCAGCCCTTGAGTTTTTCATAGGGGTCTCACTGTGTAGTCTGACCTGACCTTGACCTTGTTGTAATCCAGACTGCCTTGAACATTCTTCCTACCTCTGTCTCAAGAGTGGTACAGGATCACATAGTTTTGCCTGTTTCTGGTGTTTTATTTAAGTAGAGTCATACGTTATGTTTTTGTGGCTGTCTTGTACTCAGCATGTTGTTTCAAGATTGAGTTGTAGCGTAGTATGGTTGTGTCTTTTTCGTTACTAAATATTCCATTGCATGGCCCTGCCACATGTTTACCCATTCATCATCCAGTGGATGTTTGGGTTGCTTCTCCTTTTTGCCTGTTGTAAACAAAGGATTATGACTTTTTATAACGTGTAGGGGATGGGTTTTCTTTTCTCCAGGGTAGACTTGTTCATTTGGTAATTCCACTCATATCCCCTGGAGGGCAGCTTTATCTTTAACTGTTACTTGTTTGTTGCTTCTCTCTTTTTTTTTTAAATAATTTATGTAACTTTATGTTATGTGCATTGGTAAAAGGTGTCAGATCTCCAGGAACTGGAGTTACAGACAGTTATGAGCTGCCTTGCCATGTAGGTGCTGGGATTTGAACCCGGGTTCTCTGGAAGATCAGCCAGTGCTCTTAAGTGCTGAGCCATCTCTCTAGCCCGAATGTTTGCTTCTTTTGGCTCTCTTCTGTTATAGAATGAAATAGGAAAAGCAAATTGTCCTGTGCATTGGTGCGTTTCTCCAAGATCAGAAATGCTCATCTGTTTCATGTGTGTGCTTTGTCTCCTCAGACTCTGTACACACATATCGTGACCGACATCAAGAACATAAACGCCAAACACAAGAACAATAAAGTGAATGTGGTAAGTGCCCTTCCTTATTGTGCTCGAAGCTTTGTGCCATCTGTGCATTGAGTCCTCATCCTCCTTGTTCCCCAGGTGCTGCAGAATTTCATGTACACCATGTTGAGAGACAGCAATGCGACTGCAGCCAAGATGTCGCTGGATGTCATGATCGAGCTGTACAGAAGGAACATCTGGTAACACACTGGAGTTTTGTCATGAGAAACAGACACACATTTGTTGTCTTTTGTTTGTTTTGGAGACAGGATTTCTCTGTATAAACTCTGGCTTATAATGGACAATAAAACTTATTGTCTAGACCCAGGCTGACCTTGAACTCAGAGATCTGCTAGCCTCTGCCTCCCAAGTGCTGGGATTAAAGGCGTGCTCCACCGCCCAGCTATATTTTCATTTGTATAATTACAGAGCTCATAGATAAGTGTGGCTTTTTGTCTTTGTTTTAATCTTACACTTTTTAATATACTCTGTTGTACATTGAAGTTGACATAAAATACAGAGGCAATCTGATATGGTTGGTCCGTTTGTCAGCTTGTTATTTGGGAAGAGGAGCCTCAGTTAAGATGCCTCCGTCAGATGGTCTGTAGGTACTTTATGGTGCATCCTTAATTAGTGATGGGTGTGAGGGGGCACAGCCCATGGTGGGCAGGTGGTCCTGAGTTATTTAAGAAAGCAGGTTGAGTAATATGAGGAAGAAAGCTGATAAGCAGCCCTATTGCTGTCTTCCTCAATTGCTCCTTACGTTATACCTTGAGACAAGGTTTCTCATTGGAACCTAGTTGACTCAGTAGAGCTAGTTCAGCTAATCTGAGCGAGCCGGCTTGCTGTGGGGATCCCGTGTCTGCCGGCAGACAGGCCACCATGCCCCCCTGACAGGAGTCCTGGGATCAGAACTCCGGTGTTCATACTCGCACGAACACTCTCTCTACCAGCCATTCCTCCAGCTCTGGGTTTGCTGAATTGTTTTCTCCTTCTGAGTTGTTGGCATTTTTGTTTTTTCTTTTTTTAACACTTATCCTGTGGCACCAAATATTCTTCACATTGATGGCTTCAAGCTTTGTGTCCCAAGACTGAGTTGGAATTGTGATGAAGTCATTTAGGGGTTTGTCACTTTAAGTCCTAGAATTGACCATCCTAAGGTCAGAAGTACTCACTGTTTTGTGCCGTTTTCTCTCCCAGGAATGATGCTAAGACTGTCAATGTTATCACAACTGCCTGTTTCTCCAAGGTCACCAAGGTGAGCTGTAGGGCTGTCTGTTGCTGAGGGTGAAGTGGAGCTGGGTGTGTCAGGAGGAGGTGGCTGCCATTTACTCCATCACGCTTTACAAATCCGAAGTTGTGGTTGACTCCTCTAAAGCGTGAGCCGGGAAAGTGGCTGTAAACAGAACCACCACCCAACTGAAGTGCATTATGTCCCCTGTGATAGCGGCGTTTCTTCTGTGGGCTCTGGCCCAGTTGAGAGAAACTCAGACAGCATGTGACTTGTCAGAAGGCTCCTTTCTGGGGATGCGGAGATTCTCTGCAGTCTACCTGAAGGGTGACTGTGTAGAGCCTGGCAGTCACTTCTGTTTGTTGATTTAAGACCGTGTTTGTCAATGGACACAAGTGTCTAAAGACGTGATTTGATGCTGCAGGCGCAGCGCCAGTGCCTTAGCTACGCGTGTGCTGGGAGGCCCGCAGCCCTTCCGTTTGTCCAGGAGAGAGCTGACCTCTCCTTTCATGTGATATGTGCCTGATAGTTCTTTATCTAATAAGTGATTGGTTTGGGGGGGTCCTGGGGGTGGAACCCAGGGATTGGGCTCACTCTCAAGCATGTGCGCTGCCCTTGAGCTGCATCCCTCGCCTCATCCTAGTGAAGGATGTTATTGTGCATCTGTGAGACAAGCGGCCCTCCCTCCCACCGTTTGAGGCTTTTTCTTCAGACACAGCAGTCTACGCATGTGGGGTGGAAGTGTAGGCAGAAGTCTGTTTGTTCTTGGCTGGGTACATTGACTTGTTTCTTGTTGGTCTTTAGATATTAGTTGCTGCTTTGACGTTCTTCCTTGGGAAAGATGAGGAAGAGAAACAGGACAGTGACTCAGAATCCGAGGTGGGTTGAATGCAGGGCCTTAGAGGTGTCCAGTTCCCCGTGTGTTGCTCCGCTGAGTTCAGTCTGTCAGACCTTTAGGTGCTGACTTTGCAGGAAGTGTCACGTCTGTCCTTTCAGAGTTCTGCCGTGCTGAGGCTTCAGTTCAAAACATTTGCTCCTTGTTCTCTTATTAGCAAGACTGACTAAGATGTGCCTCGGGTTCACTCGCCCTGGTCTGTGCTCTGAGCTGTTTCTACCTGTTTACATACAACCTTAGAGGAAGAGAAGATGCTGGCAGTTTGGGGTGGTCCCAACATCACAAACGTAGGAAAGAGGAGCATAATATTACAGTGTCTTTAAAATTGAAGAAGTGAAAAGATCTATTCTAAAATCACATACATGCGGGACTAGAGCGGTGCCCCAGTGGTGACAGACACTTCCTGCTCCTGTAGAGGACCAGAGCTAGGTTCCCAGCACCCATGTTGGACACCTACAGCTGTGTGTAACTCCAGCTCCAAGGGACTGAACATCCTCTTCTGTTCTCTGTAGGGATCTGCAGGGACAGGTTTATGCACACACACACAAATACAAATAAATAATTTTAGCATTGTGGTAACTAGACCAGGATCTCCTGGTAACACCTTACTATATTTCATTGTAAAAACTTTGAGATAATGTAGACAAGTAAGGGGTTTCTTGACTTTGGGTTATTTCCGTCATATTTCCTTCCTTCCAGGTAACTATTTTGTTTCCAGTGCATTTACGTTTGTACAGAAAGTCCTGTGTAAGCATTTAGAAGCTATGTGTCTTATGTACACACTACAGTGTGCTTTGTTCGCGTCAGTGTGCAGATACATTTTGTTTAGATCTGTGAATATTCCAGAATATGAATGTTATCATTCTTTAAGCATTCTTCTATTGATGAATACATTTCCAGTTTCCTACAAATAAAAGCAACATTGTATCTGTATATCATACTAAAATTAAGGATGCAAAAAATCATTGCTGTAGGGAAAATGTGTGGTCTGTTTTTGCACATGTGTGCTGATTTCCTGATTTTAAAAGGTTGTATTCATTAGTGGGTTTGTGAAAAAAGTCTAAGAACCAAAATTAGGGGCCAGAGAGGTGGCTCAGCTGATGCAAGCCCTAGTGGAGCAATTCCTTCGACCTGAGCTGAGTCTTAGAAGCCATGTTAAACAACCAGACTCCTGTAACTCCAGCTCCTGGCTCCTCAAGGCCTCTAGTCTACGTGGACACCTACACTCTCACGCACATGCTCACATACAGACACACACACATACACATAAATAAAAATTAAATCTTTAGAACAAAACGGAATGTAGTTAGTACGCTGCTCATGTACAGATTTTCCCTGTTCCCAGTTTCCCAGTGTAGTTTATTCTTTAGGATGAAGGACCCACGGCAAGAGACCTGCTGGTGCAGTATGCCACGGGGAAGAAGGGCTCCAAAAACAAGAAGAAGTTGGAAAAGGCAATGAAAGTGCTGAAGGTGAGGTCCGTGCCTGGAAGCTGCAGTCAGAATCCTCAGAGTGTGGAGTGTGCATGGGGTTTGCCTGCTAAGGTTTTGAGAGAGAGAAAGAGCATTAAAAACAAACAAACCTTAGAAATGGATGGTGAGTTGTAAGCACTAACATTTTAGATAAATAGGTTATGTTCAGCTCTGACAAAACTGTGGTTTGAATAAGTTTGATTAAGTTTACTCTAACTAGACATGGGTTCTTAGAAAAAGTTTGGTATTTGGTGATGGTTATTCCAAATAATGTTAGTTTATTCCTCATGGAGTCTGTGCATGTATGTGAGGGTATTGCAGTTTATTTGTGTGGGGGTTAGTATGTATGTGTTTGTACATGCATTCACGTTTGTACAGGTGCATGTGAACACGGTGCAGGTTGCCAAAGATGATGTTGGGTGTCGGTCAATCACTTCTGCACCTTACTCTGAGAAAACATCCCTTCTGAAACCTGGCTAGCCTGGCCGGTCAGTGAGGTCCTGGAATCCACATTCCCCTGCTGGACACATAGCACATAGTCAGTCTAGGACTGGCTAATGGCTTCAGCACACAGCCCAAGGACTGGCTAATTCATAACCAAGGGGTTTTGAATGGGTTTCTGTTCTCTTTCAGAAACAAAAGAAGAAGAAGAAACCAGAAGTGTTTAACTTTTCAGCTATTCATTTGATTCATGATCCCCAAGGTACCATAGTTACTACTTCTGAGTTCCTTGTTGGCCTTATCACTTCCTGTTAACTTACTACTCTTTAGACCAGTTTTTTTTTTAATTGAGTCACCTAGGAAACTGGGTAAAGTACAGATTCTGGTTCATTAGGGCGTGGGTATGGCTTTGGAGTCTGCACTTCCAAGAAAGTCCTAGTAGATTGGTTGCTGGTGGCCTGCAGACCACACTCTCAGAAGCAAACTGTATCCACTATAGAGCAGTGCACAGCATCTCGGGAATCTGTGTTTGGGAATATGTGTATGTACACATACACAAATATGCACAAAACAACAATTAATGGAAAAAGGCCGGGAAAGGTATGTGGGAGGGAAGGGGGAAATGAGATGATTATAACCTCAAAAGATAAAAGAAATTATTTTACATATATATCTTAGGAATCCAGGGCTCTGAAGAGTTGCCCTAGTGACTAAGAACACTGGCTGCTCTTGCAGAGGACCCAAGTTTGCTTTCTGGCACCCACATCAGGTGGCACACAATGCCAGCCTGGCTTTAAGGGATCCAACACCTTTTTCTGGCCTCTGTGAATGTGTGCACACATGTGCATATACATGCATATACATAAATAAAAATAAGTAACTAGTCTGTAACAAGTGTTAAAAATCACCTTGAGTGTTGGCACAGCACTCAGGAGGCAAAGGAAGACAGATCCCTGAGTTCTGCGGGCCAGCCCGCTCTACACAGTGAGTTCCAGGGCAGCTAAGGGTATGTAGTGGGACCCTGTCTAAAAAAAAAAAAAAAAAAAAAAAAAACTTAGGGTTTTTTAAGATGAATTTGGGGTACCGTATTTGATCTTCTCACTGATGTAACTCCTCATGCCATGCCATTTCCCTGTGCCTGTTAAATGCTGTCTGCAGCCATGAACCCACAGTTCTGATTCTTTCCTTCCAGACTTTGCGGAAAAGCTTCTGAAGCAGCTAGAGAGCTGTAAGGAGAGGTTTGAAGTGAAGATGATGCTCATGAACCTCATCTCCAGATTGGTGGGAATTCACGAGGTGCGAACTGTGCTGCTTCTCTGGGGATGTTAGCTGAATGGGCTTAGTAAAGGAAAGCAGTTACGTAGAACGATGTTTCAGTTTTAATCAAGCCTTCTGCACAGTTAGATCGGCAGGGAATCCAGCCTTCCTGTCTAAAGCAGCTGCTCTTATTTAGCACTCTTTCCTCTCCAGCGTGTGTGGGTGCTAACCTATGCACATTCGGTTCACATGGAGCCATCACGTGCTCGCTCTTGTTACTTTCACGTGTGTGTTCCTGAGCCCGGATAAACTGCATATTTCTGTTGATTCTTGCTGCTTTTCAGTGTGCCTAACCCTTCCTGATATTAACTTCCAGGTGCTCTGGTAGGGGTTGTACAGTTGCAAAGCTGGGATCCCTGGGTATTTTTTGGTATTGAGTTAGTTTGCAAGAGCTCCTTGGTGATGTTTGTGTGGTGTGCGTGTGAATACTTCCAGAGTAGCTACCTTTAAAAAGGTTACCAAAATTTTAGATCACAAAGAAGTGACCCTTGAAATTGTTCTCTTAACTGCTTTTTTTTTTTCTCTTATGTGTATGGGGGTTTCACCTGCATATATTTTTGTGTAATACATATGTTCAGTGCCCATGGAAACCAGAAGAGAGCATTGGATCCTCTGGGACGGGAGTTTCAGATGGTTGTGCGTCACCATGTGGGTGCTGGGAGCGTGTGCTCTTCCGGAAGAGCAACCAGTGCTCTTAACACTTGAGCCATCTCTCCAGCCCAGTTTTCTGACATGGATGTCATGGCTCGTTCTGTTCTGAGATTGTTCAGCATGTTGGTTTCCTTGATCACAGATACAGAGCTCAGAGTTCTTCCTCCAGTGTGGTTGGACGAGAGTAGAGTCGGACTGTCAGTTCGTGGCAGTGACAGCACTAGGGCCGCTCAGTTTTACCCTGCTGTCCCCAGGGACTTCAGGGCCTGTGCTGGTCCTGGTCTGGCTCCCCTTCTGTGAACACCAAGACAGAGCTTAGCAGCCAGGCCAGGGTCAAAACTAGAAGAGGGCTGGGTTTGTTAGCCTTTCCCCACTTTTTCTGCGCTTTCTCTCTCACGTGGTAAGATAGCAGGATAGTGCTGGGGAGAAAATTCTTTCCCTGGGTTACTGCAGCACATTGAATTCGCCTGTGGTAGGATTGCTTACTGAGGACTAAACTGAGTCAAAGTGATTCCCAGTGCATTTATCTTGGTGGTGAAATGTCATGCTTAAGTTTCATAGATATTAAAGCCAGTCCATTCTTCTCTCCACAGCTTTTCCTCTTCAACTTCTACCCTTTTGTGCAAAGATTTCTGCAGCCCCACCAGAGAGGTAACCTGTCTGTGTGTCTGATCCTCGGCTGTGACCTAAGAAGTGGCTAGTCTGTTCTAGCGTTGTTAAGGACAGTTAACGTTATGTGTTTTATATAGAGAAGGGAAAAATGGAAGGCTGAGGTCGAAAGATCAGGACTTCAGGTCATCCCTAACCACACACACATACACTCCTATTTTTAAAAAATGATAAAGATAAATTCTTGATTGCAAGTCTTTTTGTAATATAAATTCTGTCAAAAATTCTAGTTTGGGGGCTGGAGAGGCGACACCTAAGTTAGAGAAGTATACTACTCTTGCAGAGGACCTGTGTCTACTTCCCCACCCACATGGTGGCTCATAGCCATCCGTAACTACAGTGGGAGATCTTCTGCCCCCTCCACATGGTGGCTAACAACCGTCCTTAACTACAGTAGGAGATCTTCTGCCCCCTCCACATGGTGGCTCACAGCTGTCCGTAACTACAGTGGGAGATCTTCTGCCCCCTCCACAGGCACCACACATGCATGTGTAGACAAAGCATCCATACACATAAAAAATAAATTGTAAAAAAAAAAAAATGTACCTAGTTTTCCCCATTGACTGTAGTGTTGTGGTAACGGGCCTTTGTTTCTGGTCTCCATGGCCCTGTGTGCCTTCTCAGTTAGCAATGACACAGAAGCAGGGAAAGATGGTTGCTTGTTTTGCCCAAACAGGAAGAAAGTGGACATTTGAACATCTGACATTTGAACATCTGACTGTGTTAAGTGCTTTCTGTAATCACTCAATGAAATTGAGAAGTGGCCTCTTTAAAGTTCAGAAAGTGACCACGGTCATTCAAATGAGTGACAAGTCAGCTTTGCCTCTTTCCCAAAGGCCTCCTTTGGTTTTTGTTTTGTTTTGTTTTGTTTTGTTTTAAGCGGGGTCTCTAGCCCAGGCTGGAACATCAGAGGGCCTCTTGTAGGCTACACTTAGAGGCATGAGCCACGCGCCTGGTCCAAAGGCCTGTTCTTTCCATACACTGTGCAGCCTCTTGGAAGAGAGTGTGTTCACATATGTACGTTTGTGTCTGTCCAATGGATGTTTGGTGACTTATTTGGTTAGTTTACTGCCTGAGACCGGATTTGGTGACTAGCCCTGGCTGGCCCCAGTCGCAGGGTCCTGCTGTCTCTGCTGCCACTCCTAAGTGTTAGGACTGTAGGTGTGAGCTGCCACACACAGCCCGCACAGAGCCCAGGAGCAGTGCGTCTGTTAGACACTAAGGTCATGGTGACCGAAAGGCAGAGTCCTTGACAGCACGGTGTATAATATCCAGGTCAAGGGTTTGGAAGAGAAAAGTAGAGTAAGGGCAATGGTGGATATGGGGGCGGATGCTCTGTTAGCCTGTGCGACCACGGAGGGTGGAACAAAGGACCTGAAGGCTGAAAGGTGAGCCCAGCACATAGGTAGGGGTTGGTCTTCACGTGAAGTAAGTTAAGTGATGGCCATGTGATAACTGAGTTGGCTTGCCATGTTGCTGTAGTCCTTGGAGGCGGAAGATAATGTGTGTGCTTTCTTGTCTCTTGTGCTTTCAGAAGTCACGAAGATCCTTCTGTTTGCTGCACAAGCCTCTCATCACCTGGTGCCACCAGAGGTGAGAACTCGCCACAACCTCCAGAATGGAGCGCGCACACACACACACACACACACACACGGATCCAGTGTAGTGCTGCCACCCAGGTCCAAAGTGTGCAATGCTGCTGCTGGGCATATTAGGGTTTCTTCCCAGAGTTGCTGTCTCTCCTATCCCGTTTCCATGAACAGAGGAGACCTGACTCCTAAGGAGATGTAATAGAAGTTAGCTATACAGTTCATAGAAGGGGAACAAGCTGAGGATTCTGGCTTTAATAACCAAATTATATGTCTAGGAAGGTCCAAGAGTATTTATAACTTCATAGTGAGTATTGTTTAAGCTGATAATTCTTTGATCAACATTGAATTATCCTGTGTCAAAGCAAAGTTTTGTTTTGATATTGTCATTTTAAAAAACAATATAATGGAATATGTGCAGTAAGAAAGCAAAAGCTGGGCACCAGCACTCAGGAGGCAGAGGCAGGCGGATCCCTGAGTTGGAGGCCAGCCTGGTCTACAGAGCTAGTTCCAGGACAGCCAGGACTGTTGCATAGAGAAACCCTGTCTCTGGGAAACAAACAAAGCAGAAGCAGCAAGGGGAGATGGCTCAGTGGTGAGAGCACTCGCTGTCCTTCAGCGACCCAAGCCAGAGCTCACAGCCCGCCTGTCACGACCTCCAGCTGCTCTGGTGCCCCCTCCTGGCCTCCGCGGCCACCAGTACACATGGTGTACACATAACTAAAAACAGATTCTTTAAAAGGGAGGCAGAAGCCTGACTGTTTGGGAGAAGGGAAGAAGCAGAGGTGGGGACGCACTTCAGTGTGTAACAGTGCCCACGCCCGCAGTGAACATGTTACTTTGTGTGCCAACCTAAAACATGAATGTTTAAAATAAGGGGGGGGGGACTATGTTATGAGCCAGTCATAAGGCTCAGTGGGTAAAAGTACTTACCACAAAACCATGACAACATGCGTTCAATGCCTGAGCTTACTTAAAACTAGATGGAGTTGTGGGCATCTGTATTCCTGTATTCCTGGCACTCCTGCCGAGGGCTGGCTGTAGAAGCAGGAGAATCTCTGCAAAGAGTAAAGGCCGGCTGGCCTGGAGTGTTGGGGTCGGTAGAGAGACCTGTTTCAGCGAGGGATAAGATGAGAATTGGCTCCTGCAAGTTCTCCTTTGACCTCCACACACATGCCCTGGTGTGTACACCCACACACTAAAGTATCAGAATTTTACAAAAGGAAACAATGTTACAGGACATTGTGTCCAACGCTGGTAACTTCACCTGGCCTGAAGTATAACCCGGAGTACTGAGTCCCTCACTTGCCTGGGTTTGGTTCTCGGCTCCCATCCTGGAGCTGGAAGGCTGCTTTTGCACTGATGACTGCTTTGCTCCAGAAGCAAGGGCCTCTCACGTGACTCACCTCTTTTGTTTCCAACTCAGATCATTCAATCGCTGCTCATGACGGTGGCCAACAATTTTGTTACTGACAAGAACTCTGGGGAAGTCATGACTGTAGGGTACGTAGAGCATGCATGGGACTGTGGGTGTGTTTAATAGACCAACATGGGCAGTTAGAGCTGTAGCTTCGGCCTCTGGGAGAGCAGTCTTCTCAGGAGGCTTTGTGTTTTCATTTTATTGGTCAGAATTCTAAGGAGAGACTCAGATAAAAAATACTTGTCCTTGTGATCAGCATGTGATGGTTTTCAGGCTGCTGTTGTGTCAAGGACTGTTTATGGACCTAATGCTCCTTTTTCTCCTCCCATGAAGTTCCCTTACACTGGGACAAGTGATTGTTAGTGAGTCACTCTGAAGAAAGGCTAGAGAAGTTCTGTAGCCCTCTGGGTGACTCAAAGGGCTATGTGTGACACACTAAGCAGTTACTTTGTATCTCCCTTGCAAACTGATGCTGGGATAGCAGCCCTAAAGACCTTTAACCCTTCCGAACTGACTTCCTGCCCTCTTTTTAGAGTGGGTGAGCAAACGCTGCCTTGTTGTTGTGCCCAACACTGGTCCTTGTTACACTGCAGAGCCAGTGTGACTGGGGAATATCAGCCTGGACGGCCGTTCACATTCTTTCTTGGCCACGCTATAGGTTTAGGGTCCCAAGCCTGCGAAGTCCAACCTGTGTTCCTTTTGGTTTTTGAACATAAAATTATTCTTTTATTTTAAATTTACTTTTCCTTTTCCAGAATCAATGCTATAAAGGAAATAACAGCTCGATGTCCTTTGGCCATGACTGAAGACCTCCTCCAGGACCTGGCTCAGTACAAGACTCACAAAGATAAGAGTGAGTTGCCTGTCGTTCTCTGTAGGCCAGCGGCACAGTCGTCTCGCCTTTACCTCTCAGTGGTCTTTGCTTCGACATTTCTAATCAAAGGTGGTGTTTTACAGACGTAATGATGTCTGCCAGAACTTTGATTCATCTCTTCCGGACACTGAACCCTCAGATGCTGCAGAAGAAGTTCCGGGTAGGTGAACCAAACTTTAGGGTGGTCTAAAGATTGTGGTCAGACATGAGGGCAGTGCCTGCTGGTCACATGATAGATGAGCGATGCTTCCATGGGGAGTGTGCGTGATGCGTGTGTTCTGTTCTTCAAGCTTAGGGTGCCATTGATTGAATTCCTTGGTCCTCAACCCTTGTGGCCAACACGCACTCTGTGATGAGGCTGGGTCTTAACGGCGTGCCGGCTTTTGTACTTGACAGTGTTGACGCTGTCGGCAGTGCCCGTCAGCAGCTGATGCACAGCCCAGCCAGGTACCGCCTCTTGGCAGAAAGGGAAGCTTTGTAACACGAAGAGGTGGCATTGCTGAAACTTAAAGCCAGAGCAGTTATTCTGTACAAAAGCCAAAGACAGTGAGAAGTGACCTGCGTTCTGCTGGGGTTTACGCTGTTGGCCTGACGTGTAAACAGGTTCCTCTCACCCTAGAGGGCCTTTCATTATGAATGTTCCTTTGAATCTAAGCATCTTACTTTTAAATAATTTTCTCTTGTAGGGTAAACCTACTGAAGCCTCCATTGAAGCAAGAATACAAGAATATGGAGAGTTAGATGCTAAAGATTACATTCCCGGAGCAGAGGTTCTAGAGATTGAGAAAGAAGAGGATACAGAAAATGATGAAGGTTCATTTCCCTTGCCTTGCCTTGCCTTGCCTTTTGCTGGGAATTGAACCCAGGTTTTCACTTATGCCACAGAAGATCTGGTCCCCTGAAGCTACCTGGCAAGATCAGGGTGCTTATCAGTGGTTGTGTAAATGCCGGACCAAAGAGCTATGATACTCTTGTATCCTGGCAGCCTCTCTAATGAGGTGTCTTCAGGTTCTTTCATATCCGGAAGGCTTTTCTGTACTCCAAGTCACTGGAGTTGTTTCTCCTACGTCTTGAGTACATTGGGTGAGTTAGTCACATACATGCTTCAGGCTCCAGGTAAATGTCTAGGCACAGTTCTGAAGGACAGCAAGGGGTGCTGGCGGGCTCTCCATGAGTCAGTGCAGGCTGTGTTTTCTGGCACGTGACTTAACTGTGAGTCTGTCCCTCTGTCTGTTCCTCTTTGAGCTGTAAGAATTAGATAAGTCACTGTTAGGTTTTGGCTGTTAATAGATACTTGGTCAGTGCTGGGTCCCGACTCCTTAAATTAACTAAGTCGATGTGACAGTGATGTCTCCCAGTTGCTGGTCAGTGGAGTAGCTGAGGTTCATTTCCTTGCTTTTCAACGTTGCTAATTTAGCGCGCCTTGCTGTGACTGCTCGACCTGAAGAGGTAGCTGTGTCAATGAGTTCTCTTTCACACAGATGGATGGGAGAGCGCCAGCCTCAGCGGGGAGGAGGAGGATGGTGAGTGGGTTGACGTGCACCACTCTTCCGATGAAGAGCAGCAAGAAATTGTAAGTCCACGTGACCTCTCTAGGGTGTCACTCTGCCAAGATGCCGTGTTTGCTGAGCCATGTTAAAATTTAAATCTGAAGCTGGTAGCCATTTTTCCTTTTGGTTGTATGCTTTTCCAGGCCAAGAAGCTGGACAGCATGCCCATGGAGGAGCGGAAAGCCAAAGCTGCAGCCATCAGCACAAGTCGGGTTTTAACGCAGGATGACTTCCAGAAAATCCGCATGGCTCAGATGAAGAAAGAAATGGACGCTGCCCCCGGGAAAGCCCAGAAAAGGAAGTACATAGAGATTGACAGCGATGAGGAGTCCAGGTGAAAGTGGCCCACACCCAGACCTGCAGTGCCTGGCAGTGGAAGAAAGCGTCAGGGGGAGAGCTCACCATCATTTTGTGTGTGTGTGTTTTGTTTTTTTTTTTTATCCTCACCACAGGGGTGAATTGCTGTCTCTTCGGGACATTGAACGCCTTCATAAAAAGCCCAAGTCTGACAAGGAGACAAGACTAGCAACTGCGATGGTGAGTGGGGGCGTATCTTCCCCACTGTAAACAGAAGGTGGATGCCCGCCCTCCCTCCCTCTCTCCCTCCCTCTCTTCCTCCCTTTAAAGGTATAATTAACACATAACAGTTGAATTAGGTGGTTTTTTGTTTTGTTTTAAGGCAGGCAGGATCTTACATAACCCACACCCCAGGCTGACCTTTGGATTTCTGACCCTCCCACCTCTACTCCCCAGGTGGTTTACAGGCCTGTGCCTTGCTTGGTTTATGCAGCTCTGGGGAAAGGACCTGAGCCTGTGCCTGCTAAGCAAGCATTCTGCCAACAGAGTCGCCCTAATTAGAGGAGAGCTTTTTTCGTTTTGTTTTTTGGTGTACTTTTTGTCGTTTTGAGACAGGGTCTCTCTATGTAGCTGTCCTGGAACTCTCCATATAGACCAGGCTGGTGTTGAACTCAGGTCAGCCCTCTTGTGCTGGGATTAAACATGTCCCCTCCACACCTGACTGTGAGATGAGTTTTGACAGCTATATTTAACCCTGTGACTACCACCCAAAACAAGATGTAGAGGACAGAAATTCAGTCTTGCATGCTCATGGATCAGAATGCTTAGCACATTTACTAAAGCAATAGAGAAATGTCACAGTCAGAGTCGGCCTGTGGCTCGTGCTGTTGGCTCATGTTGGTACAGTGACCACGTGTCTGCTGCTTTCTGTGCCTCGGCAGTAGCTCCTCCTCACTCTTGCATTCTGTGCATGGAGACCCACATGGGCAGTTAGAGCCATGTGCTTTCTCCCCACTTTTCCACACACCAACCTCTTCCCCTTTCCCACCTACCCACCCCAGCTCGGCCTCTGGGATTAGACGGAGTCAGGACGTTTCCTTTCACTGAGCTCAAGCCTTGTCTCTGGATCGTGTCCTAGGGAGCAAGAGCTGCTCTTTGTCTCTGTCTTGTCCTTGGCATCAAACAGAGGATTAGATAACGCCTGAAGTGTGTTGTTCTTGAAGAAATACTGAACACTAATCTCTTTGTACTAACAGGCAGGAAGGACAGATCGAAAGGAATTTGTGAGGAAAAAAACCAAAATAAATCCATTTTCCAGTTCCACAAATAAAGAGAAGAAAAAACAGAAGAACTTTATGATGATGCGATACAGCCAGAATGTCCGGTCAAAGACCAAGCGCTCCTTCCGGGAGAAGCAGGTGGGTTCCACGTGGGCCTGAGTCCAGCAACATAGACAGCTATGTTTTACAAGAGGGCTGCCTCTGAGGACCACATGCCAAGTGTGCTTGGGGAGGCTGGGAGCAGTCAGGGTGGGATTGATAGGGGTCGCCATGTGACCTGTGGGTGACCCTGGATCATCGTCTCTGAAGTGAAAGAATCAAGCTTGGTCCCCTCTGAGGTCCATTCCCATGCCCTGTAAAGCAGATTGATTGATCAGGAAGCACTGCTTGGGTGTGGACTAGCTCAGGAAGGCAGTGCTCAGCACACTCAGCACACAGTTGTGGTGAGTTATGATGTCTGTGTTCTGTCTCAGAGAGCATCGTGCTTATAGCCTCTGGGATTTCTGTCCACTGTAGCTTAGCTGGTTTGCTGCCCATTTTGTTTTAAGACAGGGTCTTACTGTGTGCTTTACAGTGCCTTGATCTCTGCCAGACTGGCTTTCCTCTGATATTCCCTCGCTCCAGCCATCTAAGTGCCGCTTCATGATTGCAGGCGTGTGCTACCGTGCACAGCCCAGCCATGCTGCCCGGGTGGCCTGCTTAGCTCAGTGATGCTCTGTAGGAACAGATTGACACGGTGTGTTTTCCTCTGAAGCGGCTGTAGAGGATCAGCACCAGGCTACACAGTGTTAGCCATCTTTCCTGGTAGCTAGCCACTGACAACCTGCCAAGGCCGGGGGTAGTGGCCAGCCCTCTAGACAGCTCCACTTAAACTCTACTTTTATTCTTTTACTTATAATCTGTACTTACCACGTGAAGGTAATAAAGCAATAACATTTCTAAATAAAGGCTCTAGATTTTGCCACAGGGTTGAATTGACTTAAGTTCTGTCTTGAGAGCCTTCCTAAACATGTAGGGTTGAGGAAATTAATTTTAATGGTATGCCTTGTTTTGCCTAAAACATCGAAGTAATTCTAACACCTAATCAATATAGAAGTTATTGAGATATTTTATATTTGTGTTAACTAATTAAAATCCAGGGTCCTGTTTGAACAAGGAACTTTGTTCTAATTGTTTCTATTGCCGCAGTTTGCCTGTGACTCATGTTAAATGCTCAGTAGCCTAAGTCCCTGAAGCTCTGGGGACCCAGCACCCTCTGAGAAAGAGCAGCTTGCTTCACCCTGTTGGCATTTCACTGTGCTGAACAGGACCTAGAAGACTTGCTGTTGAGCCAAGAGAAGGGACTGCAGACAGGCCCGGAATGTCTGCGGGGAAGGGGCTGAGCTGTGCAAATAGCTGTGCTGACCGAAATGGCCAGCATGTGCTGGGACAGTGCTTGGCCTGCAGCTTAGCCACTCAGGACCTCCGAGTGACATGTGAGCGGCTGCTGTGAGTGAAGTGCAAATCCAGCCAGCCAGACACTGGAGAGTGCCAGACACTCCCTCAGCCAGCCAGCTAACAACTCCACCTGCCTGCAGGGAGATGTCAAATCCAGAGCTGTAGAACGTGTAGCTGTAGAGCTGGGCAACTGCTAACCTAGAATGAGCTTAGTACTTTTGAGACAGGGTTTCAGATGAGTATGAGCCCAGACTGGCCTTAAATTTCATCTTTCTGACTCAGCCTGCCAGGTGCTAGAGGCGTGAGTCACGATGCCTGGCTTCCAAACACGTCTGCTAAACACAGCACAACAAGTTAACACACACCTTAGTGAAGTGTAAAGGCCGGGATTAGTGGTGGGAATTAATGGAGGTCTGTGCCTTGGCCTTGCTTGCCGTTACTACTTAAAACTTGGACTTGTTGTTAATAGCCGTTCGTATTCTGGTTATCTGGGGAGGGTTAAGAATCAAGAGGGGACATCTGTACCTCCAAGTGCCAAGCAGAACAGAGAAACGCCACATGCCATCCCTGAAGTCAGGTGATGCTGTTTCTGTAGGAAACGTAAGGTCCCTCCAGACGTTGGTTTTGGTCTTAAACTGGATCTTGATGATTGTCACAGGAGCCCCATTTCTGCGGCTAGAAGACAGTCACATGCGGCTAGAATGCACACATGGCTGCTTTCACTTCACCTGATATGTTTCTGACAGAAAGTGATTAAGGAAGTGAAAGACTGAGAGCCTGGGTTGTAAAATCTTTTAAAAGCTTGGATTAGCTAGGAAGAGTTTTGACCCTTGCTAATGTCTTCAAGTCTTTGCCATTGAAAATAAGGTACAGTGGTACTGATGGTAAGATTGTGTTTCTGGCTGGCAGTGATCACCTTTCTCCACGGAGCCATCTGGTGAAATACTTCACTCTGTGACATTTTTAGGATGGCTATTGACCTAGTGTCTGGTAACTATGACCTAGTTGGTGTAGCAAGTGTTACTGTTACGTTGTCTTCCTCTTCTCTTGCAGCTAGCACTACGAGATGCACTTTTGAAAAAGAGGAAAAGAATGAAGTAACATAGCAGCAAGTTACCGTTTCCTGCCAGCGCTAAGTGTGTATCGACATGCCGAAAATTAGTAAACATTTGCTTACATTAAAAGGTCAAGAGACACTATATTTTGGAAACCACAGTAGCATTTGTAGAAATTTGGTATTTTTAATTTGGAGGTGGGGCTGGTGGGACTGTGAATGTAAATAGTAGCGGTGTTAAGATCTCCTTTCTAACTCAGAGCAATAGCAAGTGCCTACTAATTGCTGCATGCACAGCTGAGTGAGCGGAGCCCCACTGAGGGCAGGTGTGTATGCCGTGTTTATAGTGAGCTTGTAAGTAGTTCCTTGTGGCTGTTGGTCCAGATTCCTGGAGTCGCTGGGCTCCTGGACTAACTGCAGGATGGGAGTCATACATGCTCTTCAAACAGGACAGTGTTACAAGAGTAAGAGGTTCTTACTTGTAAATAGGCTTGCCTGCTGAACAGGCTCCTGCTGTACAGACTGTGTTTTCTTCTCTCCTTTCAATGTTAAGAGTTGGCTAAGACCCCATTTTTAAAATTGCCTTAAGTTTAAATAGTGATTTTGAAATACCTAGCAGGGTACGGAGGCGCACACCCATAATCCCAACGTTCAGGAAGCTAAGGCAGGAGGCTCATGGGTTTAGAACCAGCTTGGAACATACTGAGTTAGTTCAAGGGCAGCCTGGGCTCATAGTGAAACCCCAGCCAAAAACACAGACCTTTGAGCTTTCCGTTTGTGCGGCCTCTCCTCTGCCTCTTCTCTGCCGTCGGTTGCTGGGTTTGGCTGTCTGTGCAGCCTGCTCTCTGCTCTCTGCTGTTGGTTGCTGCTGGGTTTGTTTTTGTTTTGCTCTACTGGGGATCAACCCCAGGTCCTGGTGTTTGCCACTAAGTGGATTCTCTGCCTCTGAGAATTCCAGCCCCAAGTGCCTGCTCTTCACTGGTTTGATCAGTTCCCTTCATTCTCAACTCAGCCCATTGTTTACCTTGTTCTCAACCAAAGCTACACGTTTTTAGTGTCAGATAGGTGTGTACAGTGGACAGTCACGCTTGAGTTCCGTGTGGGACAGAGTCTGCATGCAGGCTGCTGGATTTAGAAATAGTCTGGTGCCTTTTGCTTCAGCCATTTTAGGACATCCTCTAATGAAAAATGTCTATGCTTGGATTGGAGGAAGGGCAGTTCTCCGCCCCTCGGGATTGGCTTTCCCTTTTCCATTTCATTGTTCTGTTCAGTTGCTGAGCTTAACTTTGGTTTTATTTTCTGCTGTCACTTTTCCCCCATGGTAGCCTGGGTCCCTGGTAGGGGATTGCCCAGCCTCACCCCTGCACAGCTGCGGAGGAAGTGTCTGTCAGACCTGAAATCGGCTGCAAGAGTCCAGCTGCAGCTCTGCTCTGTGGCCTCTCAACTCCTCCTGCCCCACCTCCCAGCTACTCACTACCATGTCCACTTTCTGGGCTACTAGGGGTTATACTCAGGCCTTGGCATTTTAAATCCAGAACACCAGCTCATTACCTCCATGGCGTTAGCAGACGTCACTGGTAAAGACAGAGTCTCGGCTCTTCTGCTGCATCTCTGTGCTAGTTGGGTGTCTTCTGTAGTGTGGAGAAACAGGGACAGCGCATGCTCGAGCCTGATTAACCCTGCCTGCCAAGGCTCTCTGGAAATGTCACACTGCCTACCTCTCTTTTAGTAAATTGTGTTTTGGTGGTTCCCCCCCTTCCTTCTTTTTTCTTATAATAGTTAAGTTGCTGTGTTTATTTTAACCGTCATGTCCAGAGTCTAGGCAGCTAGTTTAAAATACATGTTGACTGTCCACTGTGTACAAAGCACTATTAGGTGGGTATGGCTGCACATACCGCATTTATGTCCATGAAGACAGAGCCGTGCTTCGTCAAAATCCAGTCACTTCGCAGTAGGCACACACTGAGCCTTTACACTGCACCATAATCCTTGTGCCCGATGCCCACGGTGGGCAGGACAGCACTGTAGAAAACTTGTTCTTGAGTTCTGTGCTTAAGTTGTAATGGTCTTGGTATGATTTTTAAAGGTTATAGTTAATACAAGTTTTGTTTTTATTTATATTCTAATTCATTGAAAATTTGTAATGTATATAGAGTATTACATTGAAATTCTATTTTAACTAAAACATTTGTTTTGAGTGTTCTGTCTGTTTAATCCATTTTAAGTAACATTTTTAAACTGTATATAGACAATGGTGCTCTCCCAAATAGCATCCTCTCATCAATCCCTTCCCTGGTTTTGGAGTGTGTTTTCTGAGATTTCAGGAAGTTTAACCAGACATGGTGACATAACCTACAGTCCCAGTAGTTGGGAGAATGATGAAGGGTAGGGAGTTGCTGTGAGTTTGAGCCCAGTCTGAACTACATAGCAAAATAACAAAACCCTGTCTCGGGGAAGGGGACACAAAACGGAGGAGAATAGAGAGATCTGGACTACAGGAAGGAAGTTGGCAGCCCCTGAAACGCTAGGTCGGGTCCCGGCTCTGAGGCCCCTTTCCTGGTGGTTTTCACCTCTGTTTAAAGGTGCAGAGGGAGCAGAGACCACCGCTGCTTCTGCTGCAGTTAAGTCGCGTGCACATAGAGCTCTGTGTGTTATTTTCTCTGTCAGATTCTGCTTGTTTGTTTTATTAGGTTAAGGTTAAAGTATGAAAAGTATTTGCTGTATAATCTGGTATACATGTGGGAGATTGTAAAAAAACGTGCAGAATATGTGCCAAATCTTTGGCGGGGGGGTTGGAATCATGTGTAAGATGTGTTTTTTACTTTCTGAGTCTTGCACGGTGTATGTTTTTACTTATGTCATTGTGTAAGAAACAAAGAGAGACATGGGGAATAAAGGTACATGGAGAATCATTCTTGTGAAATTTCTCTGTAATTAGAAGGAGGCTGCCCCCTCCAGGGGGGTGCTGGGATCAAACGAAGAACCTCATGCGTGTGGAACAAGTGATCTCCCCCTGAGCTACACTTCAGGCCTGGATGTGCACCTTAAAATCCAAGGACAGTGTGATTTAAAAGCGTCCAGAGGTGTTTGTCTCCCCTTCCTCATTCTCACCCTGGCTTCCTGGGGTCTAGAAACATCCTCTAGGATCATCACCATCTCAGTTCTGCCAGCAATACACAGTGTTGTCAAAGGTGCCATTTGCTAGGGCTGGAGATGTGGCTCAGTGGTTTACCATTAGCAGGGACTGGAGGGGTGGATCAGTGGTTTACCATTAGCAGGGACCGGAGGGGTGGCTCAGTGGTTTACCATTAGCAGGGACTGGAGGGGTGGCTCAGTGGTTTACCATTAGCAGAGACTGGAGACGTGGCTCAGTGGTTTACCATTAGCAGGGACTGGAGGGGTGGCTCAGTGGTTTACCATTAGCAGGGACTGGAGACGTGGCTCAATGGTTTACCATTATTAGCATGGGCTGCAGACGTGGCTCGGTGGTTTAGAGCACTGGCTGTTTTTGCAGATAACCTGTGTTTGACTCCCAGCACCCACATGGTGGCTTATGATTGTCTGTAACTCCAGGGGATCCAATGCCCTACAGAAGGGCACCAGGCACGTGCGTGGTATGCACACATACATACAGACAAAACATCCATACATGGAAGAAAAAAAATAGTGTTTTTTAAAGTACCATTAACATGGTTCTTATGGGGAAAAATGACTTACAGTTTGCACAGGTCTAAAACATCATAGGTTTTAGCTCAAACCCACTTTGAGATTTCTTTCTTTCTTTTCTTTTTTCTGAGACAGGGTTTCTCTGTAGCTTTGGAGCCTATCCTAGAACTAGCTCTTGTATCCCAGGCTGGTATCAAACTCACAGAGATCCACCTGCCTCTGCCTCCCAAGTGCTGCGATTAAAGGTGTGCACCACTACCCCCCAGCTGAGATTTTCGTCCAAGAAAATGATCAGAATATGGCAAGAGCCACAGATTTTTTCTTTGAACTCTTATGAAAACATGCACTGTGGTCATTTCGCTGAAGGCAATGTAACATTAAATGGCAAGAATAATACAGCATCTCTAGAATGCAGGCAATATGCAGTATAGTTAGGAGGAATAGTGATTACTTCCTCCTTGCTCTTATCAAACATCCAGCCAGAGGTGACTTGGGAAGGATTTATTTAGATTCCCAGTTTGAAGGACAACTTTGAGAAGGGAGATGAGAGGGGAGAGGCGTGGCAGTAGGCGGCTCCCTGGTGCTATTGTGTGGCCCAGACGTCTCATTCCAGAAGGCAGCAGACAAACAAGACTGAAGCCTCCATGCATATCAGCTCTCGTCCTCCGGACGCCCCTTGGCCCCTAAAGGTTCTCAGCTCCACAACCGCCGCTGCAGGCTGGTGAGTCTGTGAAGAGCATTTCACGCCCACGCCGTTGCAGTTAGACCATAAAGCAACAGTTGCTCCTGGACCTTATTTGAAGCTAAGGTACAAGCTGGATGTGTACCCAGCTGTCATCCTAGTAGTCATGAATTTAAAGGCTAGCCTAAGCTACACAGACCTTTTCAGAAAACATACACAGGAGGTATACACAGTGGTAATGTGAAAAAAAGTTAAGCTGGCTTTTTTTGTTGTTGGTTTTGTTTTTTTTGGGTTTGTTTTTTTTTTTAAGTATTTAGTTTTTCAAGACAGGGTTTCTTGGTGTAGCCTTGCCTGCCCTGGAACTTACTTTGTAGATCAGGCTAAACTCATGAGCCTCCTGCCTGGGCTTCCCAAATGTTAGGCCACCACTTGCCTGAGGTTAAGCTGTTTTTAAAGCAGCATATGAGATATCTAAAGTGATATTAAGGCTTTTTTATATTAACATCTGAAATTGGAATGTGTTTAAGTTCTTGCATCCTTGTGACAGTCTTAGCATATTGTCCTTGTTTGTACATCCAGACTTGGTCTCGGATCTCCAGCTATCGCCTTTAAGACCACACAGGCACCAGCATCCAGCCTTGGGGAATGGGGCTTAGTAGCTAGTCAGAAAATACAGAAAAAAATAATAAAAGGTAAGTTATATTAAGCTTTTGTCATGACAGAGGAAAGCCCAGGTGCCAGGGGGCGGGTGTGTGGTGTGTAGCATATACAGACCTCTGCTTTCAATTCCCATACTACATACGGCCAGGCATGACTGTGCACGCTGTAATCCCAGCACCTCACAGCAACCCTGGGAGTTGCCCAGGACACACAAGACCCAACCTCAAAGTGCTACAGTACTAAGGACACTTAAGCTTGGTGTTCCGAACCGCATCTCAGTGTTCTCCTCGGCGGGAAACATACAACAGCTTAAAGCCTGCATCTTAGTGAATGAACTCTTAGGTGCTGTAGGTTGCAGGACACAGGGGTCCACGCTCGGCCACTTGCAGTCCCAGTGATGGAAGACGGGGGCTCTGGGCATACTGCTGCAAATCCAAAGCCTGCTTGGTCTGCGGAGCAAGTTCCAGATAGCACAGCTCTGTCCCCAAAGCAGAATCACCAGGCTTCTGTGTAAGTGTACACTAATGCACACCCACAGTCGTTGAGAAGGCCTCTCACTGGAGCTGGAGCTCACAGGCTGGCTAGGCTGACCGTCTGTCCCTCACCTGCCACTGCAGCTCCGGGAGTACAGGAGTACAGGCATGAGCCGCCATGTGTGGGGGAGGGGGACTGCTGGAGATTTAAACTCAGTTTCTCATCCTTAAACAGCACACACTTTACCTGCTGAGCCAGCCTATCCCCAGGGCTCTTAATGGCATGGGGCAGTGTGGAGGGGAGAACACTGGCATCTGCATCAAGTCATGGCAGTTTGAAAACATTAACCCCAAGTGCAAAGAAGCCTTAGTAATATCTTAATTTCAGGTTTTGTTTTTTTTGTTTGTTTGTTTGTTTGTTTAACATACAAGAGTAGAGACACTTTTTTTCCCTTAATGGTACAAAGACTTAAGAGAGTTCTTTGAATGCAAACAGAGTCCTCATTAAAAAAAAAAAAAAAAAAGGATGTCACACTTTAAATGACAGTTCTCCCTTGAGGCACATACAGTAATGGTATTTAAAATAAAATAACCACATGAAAATGGCTGCTGACCATGAGTGAGAAGAATATGTCTGACGGCTTCTCTGTCTTGAGCATCCTGATGATTTATATGTCAAGCATTTATCCAAAGCATCCTTGGCGAAACCAGGAACACCTCTAGTTTCATCTCAGCAAGAGGCTGCTGGGGCGGACTTTCTGTTCCTAAGTCAGCATCAGACGGGGCCTTAAAAGGAAATTGGGCCAAGGAGTAAAGCCATAGTGTGAAAAGGGAACCCACTGCCCTTCTGGGAAAGGTTGCAAAAGCCGGAGGTAAAGGAATCGCCTGGGAAGTAGGTTAGGAGAGGGTACTCCTCACAACTTCCTATGTCAAGGCCTCATAAACCTTTCTCTTTTTAAAAGATAGAAACATTCTATAACTGTGACTTTAAATGTAGAGCATGATGAAACATTTACCAACTCAGTATATTGTTTTAAAGAATGAAAGCGTGGGAGACTGGCGTGGTACACATCTGTAATCCCAGCACACAGGGGACTCAGGCGGGAGGAGCAGCCTGGGGCTAGCCTGGGCTATGGACTACGTACTGAGTGTGTGTCTTAAAGGGAAGAAATTAACTATAAGGAAAAGAGCATTAGAGTGAAATGAAGTTCTCACCATGACTCCTCCCTTAAGAGAGCTGCTAATCTCGGGGCTGATGCCTGCCATTCCTGTAGCGTGTGTCCAGAGGCCAACATCCAGTGTCTTCCTCTTCCCGCATCTTCTGAGATGGAGCTGCTCTCTCTGAATGTGAAGTTCACAAATTTGGATGAACTGGAAGTGTGGTTCAGTTTAGTTCCCTCTCAGCAAGAAGTAATTGGGGCAGACAGGCCTGGAACCCTTTGGTCTCTGCCTCCCCGGCACCGGGATCACAGGCCTGACTTTTTACACAGACACCAGGATCCAAGCCCTGGTCGTCATGCTTGGATACCAAGTGTTTTTCCAACTGGATCATCTTCCCCGGACCCAGCATTAGAGTCTTCGTAAACACATCTTTCATTTTGTTAAATGTTGCATTCTTTATTCAACTGTTCACAATTCATTATTTTCCTGCCAAAAAGCGGTTAGATATTTCTGTTTAGAGCCTTTTGGGCATCCCTGTAAGCACTACAGCCATCAGAGAAACAACCATAGAAAAGCGGTCTGTGTGAGGCAAGAAGAGTCCGGCTCAGCAGCCGGTACCTGCTTTGAGCTTCTGGAGTCTGGCACGGGGCAGCTTTTCCTTTAGGCATTCAAGTGCAGTACAGTTTGGGGGAAGAGTTTGCTGGTGGCAGTTATCTCAGCCCCGTGTGCGCAGTGAAGCTTCAGGCACCTTGAGGGCCTAGGGAAGGGGCAGGTGTCGTCTTGGTCATACTGATCTTGTAGAGGTCACCAAGCTACAAAGCGCATGTGACATCTCCCTTAAGCATGGGTTCTGTTGACTGAAAAACAAAGCTAAAAATAAAGGCCTAGGGAGGGAGAGTCTGGAGTAAACATAGTACTTTAGGGATTCAGATGTGGCACTACAAATAGCAAAGGTCACCACCAGGCTATTAACTGCATACACTTCCAGACTTCTGGGTGAACATGGTATACATCCCTTCTGTTGAGGACAAGCTTGTATGCTTCACATCCCTGGTTTCCCTGGGGTTCATCTGTGAGCGAAAAGACCTCATGGCCTCTGCAGAACCATGAGTAATAATTTTTGAATGTTTGAATGTTCTTAGAACTTTTTTTTTAAAAAAAAAGATTTATTTATTAATTATGTATACAGCATCTGCCTGCATGTATCCCTGCAGACATCGTTGTGGGTCCCTGAGCCTGGCAGCTTCCCTCCAGAAACTAGATTCCAGAT